TCAGGGTCTTTAGTTTTACCTAACAGGAGAATTAGGAAAAACTATCTACTACATCTTCCTGGAAGTGAATTTCTCCTCTTTTTTCTTTCTTCTTTCTTTCTTTCTTTCTTTCTTTCTTTCTTTCTTTTCTTTCTTTCTTTCTTTATTTCTTTCTTTTTTAATTAGGAGGGCAGCATGCAATTTTTTGCACTTGTTTCTTTAAGGAACTTAAACAGAATTATGAAAAACTAATACATTTTCTATTAAAAAGAGAAATTTGAGACAACACATGTCTGTCTATGATTTATCTTTCAATATCAGTTTCATTTCTACTTTCTAATTTCTACTAGTTTGTTTCTTGGTTACTTTATCGCCAATTCATGCTCCTTTAGCATTTATGGCAACACTTACACTTAGAAGTGAGCTTTTCTTCACTTCAGAGTTCTCACTGAGTGAGTCCCTAATGTGGGCATGTTCATTTGATTCATTGCTGTTCCCTTGTGCCTGTCACAAGGCCAGCCCACATACCAGTGCTTAATAAATATCTGCTGAATAAGTGACTGAGAACTGAAAATTTAAATTTTTCATTCTATGAGAGCTCATCTATTTTATGCTTGCTGTGCTGAAGCATGGGGCACATGTGTCTGCCGCCTTTGCTTGATTCCCACCGGGCACACTAAGCATGTGCTTAGGGGCATTAACAGAATTTGTCCAGAACTCTGTAATCTAGAAGAAAGCAATTTAATTTCAGCACATGTGTCAGTTTTTGTTTTATGGTTTAGAATTGTTTGTATTTTGAATCACAAACGTGGAGGACTCCAGTATGATTCCTGTGTGTGTATGTGCGGGCGCGTGTGCACATTCACTCCTATCACTTTTAAAGAAAGTGACCCAAAGAACATGCACAAAAAAAGACCATGGAATTTTTTTAGGAATCTAGAAAACAGACCCTGGAATCTTTTTTTTTTTTAAGTAAATCATTGTTTGATGATCTTTTAAAATTTTTGTCATGTAATGTGCAATGTGTGTTCATACATACATGGAGGGGAGATAATGTTAGCCCACCATTTTATAAAGCCCTGAATATAATTTTACATTTTTTTGCAAAGATAACTATACTTTAGATAAAGATCTCCCATCATCAAACCATGTTTAAATGCAGGTTAGTAGAACATGATTCTTTTTAGTACTCCTGAGTATGTTTGGTTTAAATACTAATCATAATACTTGCTTTCCCGCCTAGCTTTAGATTCTCTTTAAAGTAATGGTGAAAATACTTAATTCACTATTACTTTTATTAGAAAGTCTGGAAATGTTCGTCTGTGGACACTTTCGTCACCTGCTAGAATGGAAATTCATTGAAGAGGGGGGACCATTTCATTTTATTGCCTAAGAGGTGTTGATAACATGCCCCACATCTTTCAAAGACATCTTTCATGCCAAACAGGCAAAGTGTAGCTAACGAAGGAATAGAAAGAGCACTTCTTACATGAGTCATTCTCAGAAAACTTGCAAGGCAGCTGTGCTAGGTACTGATGAGGATTACCACAGAACCCAGTTGCAAGATTTTGTGCGGTCGAGGAGACAGCTGCCTCTCTCAGGGGACCACTTGAAAGGGGATTGCAGCAATAACGCATCTCTACTGTTGCTGGTGGATTTTGTGGCCGTGTAGTACAAAATCAGTGCCAGATAAAATCAGAAAGTAATAGAAAGCAAGAAGAATCTCACAGATTTTAAACGTTAATGTGAGAGACGACCACAAATGTCCTGAGCTTGTTGCATTTACTAGCTAGGAAAAGGAGACAGAGGAAGGGATGCCTTTAACTCAGAAAACTTGCAGGGCTTCGGTCTTTTCATTTGAGAACCATTTGGGTGTGTTGTGAAATCAAGTTGCAGAGTAGGCATGTTCAGACCTTTATTTGCTACAGTTAGTAGGAAAGATTTCCTCCCCCCCCCCAACCTTAAATAAAAGAAGCCAGAGTTTTCTGTGCAAACTGAAACAGGCGTTGCAAGAATCAGATTCACTTTGGACGAGTCTTCACATTCCAAGTCATCATTGCATTAGGCAGCACAATTCCATCTCTGGTTGATGGGCAGAAAAAGTGGGCAGCTTGCCAGGTAGACGTTTCCATGACTCCCAGCCCCCAAAGGTGATGCGTTTTTCAGCTAATTCAATGAAGAGTGGGCTGAACTTTGGGTCTAAACGAGACAATAGCTGCCTTCGCAGTATCAGCAGAATGGTTGATGGGAATGCACTCTACATTTGGCAGAGAATCATGTGACCCTACGACTGAGATTTTGTGATGGTGCCAACGGAGACTTGGAAAGCAGCAACCGTCCTGACTTTTTTCTTCTTTTCTAGCATGGCTCAGAAAATGGTGGATCTTAATACTTGACTTTAGCCAGACTCAGCAAGCGACTGAGCTTTGAAGCACAACTTCGCCTTTATTCTGGGTTTTTGGCAGGCCACCAGGAGGCTGTCCCTTTCACGCCTGATAAATTCTGCTGCTTATCTCTAAATAGGAAAAAAAAAAAAAAAAGAAAAGAAAAGAAAAATATAAACAGAATATTGAGGCATAACAAGTGAATCCTAAAATTGTATGTGCTTTTTGTTTTTTGGCTTTTCTTACTGCTGATTTTTTAAATGTTAATACCCTTTCTGCTTGCTGAAGAATCCAAGTACTTTTTTTTTTTTTTTTTTTTTTTTTGGTTTATAATGAACAGGCATTTGAACAGGGCAAACAAGACGGCCGCAGCAGTGAGCATGAGATCATTGCAGCAGTGTAGCAAACTGGCACCCTGCCTTCTCACCCTTTTGGTTCAGGAGACAAACGTGTGCAATCCTCATTTCTAAAGTCAGCTCAGCCTGGAAGGATTCCTGGTCTCTCCCACCTTCTACCATTCTGCTGCCAGGGACAGCAAGGATTGGTGCAGCTTCTGCGCAGTGCTTTGTGCCTGGAATACCGAGAAGGAAGAAAAAGAAGACAAGCACCCTGGTCCTTTTTATCCAAGAAATAACAGGAGCCCCGAAGAAAAAAAATCTGAGTTTGTCCTACTCCATGCAACAGTGCTGAAAAAAAATGAGACGCTCCTGCTCAAAAACAAAAACAAAAACAAACAAACAAAAATCCAAACCAAAACAAACCAAAAAAAAAGCAAACATTGGCTTGTATACCTACAGAGACATCGGGCTTTGTAAAGCAGCTTTGTAAGGCAACATTACCAAATGAGCCTTCCTTATTTTTATTATTTCAAAAATATGGCATAAGTAGCAATATATTGCACTTGGTGAAATCGCACCTTTCATATCAGGTATAACTTTTTTTGTTGTTTCTTTTTAAGCCTACTCTTAGATAAAAAGGGATCCTTGAACTTTCAATGTACTTTTATTTAGCTCATCACCCACTTTGCTCTTATTAACTTTTTCCTTTTGCTTTCTTGCTCTAATCCTGATTAGAATAGAAACTTGAGTAAAAATAGAAAAATGTCTATGGAAAAAGGCGGTACATGTTTTTATTTTGGTTATACATCAAAGTTTGGAAAGACATTAATATGTTGTCTGTGCTTTTCGTGTACAGTATTAGTTTTTGCTATCTAAGAAAAGTGAGCGTTTAGTCCTCGTTGTTTAAAGAAACTAAATCTTTCATTTGCTGTGACTCATAATTTGAAATGTGAAAGAAGAAACTTTTTGAACTTCTAAAAAAGGGTCATATTAGAAGATACATTAAACTGCTGATAAATAAAATTAGTTTGGGGGAAGTTGTATTTAAAATTATTTACCAGGATTTCAGTAGAACCGAAGTAGGATGAAAAGATCATGTTCTCAGTTGCTAAGTAGAAAAGAAGCTTGTTCCACAATAATACTCTCTTTTAAAATATATTTTAAAAGAAGCATTTGTCTCAGGGCAGTTACAGAGAATGTTGGAAATATCCATTAAGTATTTTAGTGGAAAAAGTACATACAAACTTGTTTTAAGTTTAAAGCAGTGATTGGCTCAGCAGATAAATGCATTGCATTCTAATTATTTTGTCTATTTGTAGAAGGAAATTGCTAAGCAATTTAAGCATTTTATAACAAAACCCAGTTTTGCCTGGTTCAATGGGAAAGGATTAGCAGACGTATTCCACCTATTTTAATTTTGATTAAAACTGTTTCTAAACATGTTTTAAAAATGCTACAAAGAGAAAGTGCTCCTTAAAAATACAATGTATATAAATGAAGACGATAATTTGCACATTAAGAATCAATGCTATAATATTTTCCATGAAAAGAATAAACTTTGAGCAAACTGTTGTGCTTTTAAAATCATATTTTATCATATTAAAATATGTAGGGTAAACAAAGAGAAAATATTATAGGACTGATGAATTCTACTTCCTTTTTTGTTATTTCTATGAAGAATTATGGGAAATTACAATTACCCTATATAGTGATAACATTCAAATAAAGCGTTTTATTAAGTTTATCGGTTATTGTTCACTAATTATTTAAAAAATAGCTCTTGTTCCTTTATGCTGCCTCAGCTAATGGAACATCAACTTTCACAGGCTTAATTAACATTTATAAACCTGTTTTCATGTTTCAAGATCCTTTAGTTGAAAAACATTATTTTAAATGTTATTTTTAGGAGCCATTAATCTCTACACTCTTAATTATCTTATTAAGCTCCATGCCAAATCCAAATCTCTTTTCAGCTTTCACTAGTTCATTGTGCAAAACCTAGTCGCTTCTTTAACAGCCATGCCTCCTTTCACTTTCAAAACTGTTACTGTGAAAACAACACCAACCAAAATGAACGCATAAATGCAAACTATGAAACCACATTATATGTCATATGAGTAGCCTTGGGTGGGGCTCTTTGAGTCTTCCAAGCCTTTAAAAAAAAAAAAAACTTTAAAAGCTTTTGCCCATTTTGATATTGTGTTTTCTTCTCGATCATCTACCTTCATTCCCACCATCCAGCCAGATGATCCTCCTAGACAGCAGTTGTCTGATATTTCTCCTTTTGTGGTTGTTTTAGGGAAAAACTTAAAATGGATATGAGAAGTGAAGAAAGTGATCATAGGAGAAAATCATCTCAGGTAAAAACAAAAAGCAAAAAAGCAATTAATATTTAATATTTTTAAAGAAAAAAACAAAACAATGTTGACTGTGTTTAGTTATAAGAATTCGTTTCATAGTCTTTATGGATCTAGTTGTTGGAATTTTCATTGATGGTTTGAGAATTTATACTATTTCCTACCTTTGTGACAAATTTTTGTCTGAGTTTATGATCAATGTACAGTTTTAGTCCCTTTGAGTTATGTATCTATATATCCATTCATATATCTATATATCCATTCACATAACGATTGCATAGAAAGTAATTTTGAAAAAGAAATTTTTTTTCATTTGTCATACCATATAAAAGGAAGTAAATCTGGAGGGAAAGAATAAAGTTGTGCTTTTTAGAAGAAATAACCAGTAAGAGAATGAAACCAAAATATACATTCTTATACTTATGATAAAACCCAAAACAAATGTTGCTTTTTATTTCACATCTAAGTTTATGAATATATGTTGGGATATTTTTACTATAATTGAATGCAATTATGACTGTTGATTTTTTACTATAGTTTTTAATCAGTATGGGAATAATTAGAAAATAAATAATGCTGAAAAATTATGTAGACCAAATTATCTATATAAAGTCTATAAAACATATTTTATTTATTTCAAAACATACAAAAACACTAAGGAATTTTAATGCAGTATTAGTATTTTTCACAATGAAGATATAATTTAGAAATGCTATTAAATATTGTAGATGTGAGTGAAACGATTAATGACTGTACAACTTAAAGTTTTGTTGCTGTTGAGCTTAAAATCCTAAAAAACGTGTATGTGGCTGGCTTTTTGTTTATTCTTTGTGTGTTTGCTTATTGTCTGGTGGTTTAAATTTTTTTTAACAACAATTTATTTTTGCCCAACCTGTTGACCAGGTAAGAGTTATATGTAGCTACATATTATGTTTTCAGAATATCTTTTTAAAAAATAAATTTAAATACATTGGTTTAAGAGGCAAGCTATATCTTTTTTTATGCAATAGATCTGGAGTATAAGTTGTAGTAGTAATAACATTGCTAGTAGTAATAATGCTGTTAATATGTCATTAATTTTAGTTTTCTGATAATAATTTATTCAAATATTGTTAATGTCAGTATTATTCCAACTATAGACACATATGTATACATTTAAGACTTTTTAGTAACTTCCTGTGTTCTCTGCCTTGTTAACAGGATCTTACTTCTTTTATGAGAAGGTTATAATGTTACCCATTCCTTAAAACCACTAACGGAGGTCTTATAAAAGAGTTAAAACAAGCACAGTCTGACTCTTACACAATTAGCTTAATAGTTAATTTGGTCTTAATTATAGCCTGGTAATACTACATTCATGCCTCACAATTACATAATTCATACATGCATGTATGGATCCTTTTTTTTCTTTTAAAACTCATTATTAATTCTAATAGTACAAATCCAAAATATTCACTATTAAAACAAAAGCAATCTATAAAAAATATTTCAGTATACTATTCTCTAAATTTTCCTGTATATAAACCTGTATTTAGTGTAGAATTTTTATGAAGGCCTTTAACTGGGAATATGTATACTAAGAGCATTTTAGCATTAAACATATTTGTAGTAAAGGATCAATATTATTATTTTCATCTAATTTCATCAGATATTTACAACGAATTCTGCATTAATGGGGAGCCCAAGTGAGATGTTGCCCATTGGCATAAACCCGTAGATCCGATCTTGTGGTGAAGTGTACGGCACAAGCTCGCTTCTATGGGTCTGTGTCAGTGTGGTCATCTAACAAAATGCTATAAACAAATGCTGTTAAATAATATTTCAGTCAAATTCCTGTTAAACTTTAGTTGATTAGTTTTGAAATATTTATAGTTTCCTTTGTTTTTCAAGTATATATTAACCCTCATCAGTCTTTAGAGGCAGGTGTCAATTGTCGACCACAAGGAAGGGTTTAGAGCATAGTCATTCAAGTTTGAATCCAAGTATATAGTAAATTACTTAAGAAACTTGAATTTTTCTATAGCAAGTTTTAAAACGAGATCTGAATAGATGCTGTTCAGAAACTGAAGTTCACATTATAGTTAGTACACCTCATCAACTTCAATAAGAAAATTAAAGGCTGTAACTGGATTTATGTGATACTATTAAGCTGATTTCTCTTGAAAAATCAAGTCGAATGCTTTTGGCTTTTAATATTATTAATTGCTAGCCATGCCAGGAAAGATGTCAGAGGACATTTTGTATGACCTGTGCTGGAAACCCAAGAGGTTAGGATAGTCCTAGTAGACACATATTAAGTTTATTGGTAAAATGTTAGAGTATTATATCTACATCCTTGCCAAGCCCTTAGGTGTATGGCCGCCATATTTGGAGGAGCTGAATGAAGATATGATAAGGAGTTTGAAGCAACATTGGAAGCTGTGTGCATCCGGGTTGAGGTAGTAGGTTGTATGGTTTAGAGTTACACCCTGGGAGTTAACTGTACAACCTTCTAGCTTTCCTTGGAGCACACTTGAGCCATCGAGGAATTCTTCACCACTTTTATCTGATCAAGCCAATTGCTGTGCAAGAAGGTAATGTGTCATGAGTATTTTAGATAATCAATTTGAGCCTTTCTTACATTAAAATTATCCTTTCATCCCTAAATACTAGATTATTCCATTTACATATACTTATAAACACTGACAAGTTGGTAGATTTTTAATACGTTGTTACTCTATGAGCACACATTTTCAACTGTGAAAATAGTGACTGGTGAGTAGTGACTTAAACCACATTGATATTTCAGTTTTTCAGTCAGATTCACAAAATTTGGCTCTTAATTTTGCAACTAATCATTGGTCTTTTTTTCTATTTTTATTGGCTACTTAGACACTACAGTAAAAAAGAAAGAAAGAAAAAATCTGCTAGTGTCAATAGATCTAATAGCACATTATCTGAGTCTTTCTTATGACACATCACTTTCTCCCTTATGTTATGATTATCTATGTGCTTGTTTATTTTTTCCATTATATACTAGACTGTAAGCCCCTTGAGGGCAAAGTCCATGCCTTATTTTTCATTGTATCCCCTACAGTGCTTTACACATAAGATCTAAATATTTATTGAATGAATGAATGGAGTATAAGATCTCACCCTGTGATGAGTTTCTTTTGAATATTTGAATGAATTACAACAGTAGTCACAAACTTGAGTATTGTTTGTTAATCCTAAAATTTGCCTAAATTTAATTCCCACACTGTGCTGCATCAGTAATATACTTGTGGTTTTTGTTTTGTTTTGTTTTGTTTTTGTTTTTGTTTTTTTTTACTGTGTTGAGTATGTCCATTCATAGTGGACATAGATTTAAAACTTAGAATTGCCTTTTCTCTAGAATAAAAAGAATAAAGCAAATTCATTTTTATTAATAAGTTCATTATATAGTTTATAACCCTAAATTAAGATTGTGTATTTCTTTTGAATTTTTAAATTCTTTTGTTTCGAGATGAGTGGTTTTTCTTTCAACATCAATTTTATAAATCAGCTTTTTGTATTTTGTATACTTCCCTTGTCTTCTGCCCTTTATTTTTGTACAGCTACATTTGTTGAATAAACCAGAAACAACTAAACCAGAAACATGTCAAGAAATTAATAATAAATATGTGAAGTACAATTGAGAATTGGATCACATTTTTTTTAAGGGGAAGACACCCACAATACTCTGTCAATACAAAACAACTGGGTCTCTTTAGAGTACATTAACTTGCCATCAATTTTAGTGGCAGCAAATGATGTAGTTTATAGAGACAGTCTAGTTTATATAGATCATCTTTGAGTCACAGCATTAAATAGGTATCAATATTAGAAATTTAAACTCTAAGTATGAAATATTGACTATATTAGAAACAATTTTTAGATAATAAATATGTTAAGAACCATAAGATCCTGAAAATGTGGTGATGAGCTTCCTATTAGAATGCTCTGGCATCCAGAATTATCTCAGAATCTAGAATTCACCAACAATGGTGAAGAAGGAACTTTTGACTCACCAACAGGAAGAACACATGAGCCTTAGAAAGCTGACTACCAGGCACCATTTGAGCATCTGCCTTTGGCTCAGGGCATGGTCCCAGGATCCTGGGATTTAGTCCCTCATCAGGATCCCCAGAGGGAGCCTGCTTCTCCCTCTGCCTATGTCTCTGCCTCTTTCTGTGTGTTTCTCATGAATAAATAAATTAAAATCTTGAAAGAAAAAAGAAAGAAAGAAAGAGAAAGAAAGAAAGAAGAAAGAAAGAAAGAAAGAAAGAAAGAAAGAAAAGAAAGAAAGAAAAAGACTATCAATGATTTCAAGCAAAATTATTTTATTAGTAGGTAGAGGTTAAAGACTATGAGTCTTCAAGGACTAATCAAGAGATAATGAACAAGAGGCAGGAGACATAGATAAGAGAGTGAGAAAGATATGGAGAAAATGAAGAGTTGAGAAGGAAAGTACTCCTAACAAAGAGTAACAATTTTGTGTAATGGTAGCAGTTATACACAAGATGGAAGAAACAAACAACTGAGTGGTAAGCAGTTACAGCTTTGTAAATAGTTTTGTAGCAATAGTTTTGTACAATAGCTTTGTAGCCTTTGAGAGCCTATAGTCCCTTTCGTGTGTGTGTGTGTGTGTGTGTGTGTGTGTGTGTGTGTGTGTTAATGTGTATGTATCCTAATACTCTTGTGTACAGATTTGGAGACCAAGTCAGTGTCACTGATGGGCCAAATCAAATAGATACTATAGTCAAGAAATGCCTGTTTCCATGGGTGCAGTAGAGTTAAGTATATCACAGAAGTCAACTGTGAGGTGCAATTTAATGAAAGGCTTAGGAAAATACTATGACAGATGCATAGAATCATAGTCTCTCATCTGCCCTATCTAAAGTGAACTGGTATTATAGAAGAATAGCTGAAAAATTACAAAGATGTAGCTATGATAAAAGGTGTTAGTCATGTGTAAGTCACAATAATTCTGAAAGGCAGAGGAT